CCGCTGTCAAGAAACCAATACATATGCATTTTAGTATACAATGATGAATTCAAATGATAAAAAAAACTTATTCTATTAAAATTAAGTTTATTTGTTCTAGTGCATCCACCATTTAGCGTGACCGGGTAGTATGAATAGTTTGGATGTACATTCTTAATTTTTTTGATGTTTTGAGGAAAGGAAAATATCAGTTATAACTACAAAATAAAAGGCTTTATTGATTCTTGTTGCTAATTTTTATTGTTGGCTTTTTGTGCTTACATTGAGGTATTGGTTGTTAGCTTCTTGTGGTATATAATGGTCGGTTTGAGCTTAATGACAGATGGCTTTCTTTGGTACTCAATTCTGGTATGTGTTCTTTTGGTATATGTTTTTTTAGATGGGCAGTGATGATGATAACAAACTGAGAATGCATCCTATTTTAATTAATTATGTAATGTTTAGGCGAGGCAATTCTATGTTGATTGCAACCTACATTGAGATTACAATGTTTGGGTGATGTAATCCCTCATAATAGCAGCCTACATTGCATCATAGTTTTATAGGAGAGGCAATCTTTTATGACCAATCTATTTTTATCCTGAGCCCTAGTAAGTCCTCATAGATTTTGGTGATGAATTCGAGCTTGTTTAGCTCTAAGTTTAGTAGGAATTGGTGCTATTTTGTAGCTTATGAGTTTAATCATACATAGTTGAAAGAATTGGTTTTATCATGTAGCTTTTATAATTGACAGAACTTGTTTTATCATGTAGTCAGCAACAATAACTTTATAATTTTCATAAATTGATAGATTTGTATTACCTGTGAAGTTCGTAGAGCTTCGAAATATACAACATCATAAATTGTTTCTTCCGAAGCCTTCATAAGTTGTTCTCGCTGTGAGTATTCCTGCCATTGGGAGGTGTATCAGCCATAATGACTTCATCCACCTCTGGATCACTGTCATCTACAACATTCCGAGTGTGGTGGCTGGATTCAAATCGCTGATTGGACTCAGGAGGTTGAGGCTGTTGAGTTAACAGTTCTCTCATTTGTTGGATAGCCAACTTCATTTCTGTCTTCACTTCAGCTCTAATTTCTTCACGTTGTTTGGCTAGAGCTTCCTGAAGTATTTGAGTGAACTGATCAGCAGTGATTGTGAATACTTCTCTGATTTGTCCTGTGCTAGACATTGTATCATCAGAAGCGATTGCAGAATAAGTGTCCGAGAATTCATCCTCCGAGGACATTCCTTCTTGCATTCTCTTGTAGTCTCTGCGTCTGATAGCTCCTAATTGGAGTCGAGACATCCTTTGAGCAATTCTTGGATTGACTTTTCCTTTCGGGGAAAAGTCGGGATTTGAGTCACTTGAATGCTGTTTAGACTTTCTTCTATCAGCTACGTTGATGGTGACTTCAGGGAATTCATCATTTTGGGCAGCTGATTTTCTTTTGCGGAAATGTCTCAGCTTAGGCTTTGATAATGCAGAGACTTTTCGTGGGATGATTTCTCGTTTGAAACAGTCACATTCTGATAATGCTGTTTTGACGAGTCGTGCACAGGAACAACGAGAGTTTATCTCTCGAATAACTCTCTTTCGAAAATTATTCACAACCTCAATTTGATAATACGATTCATTGGTATGATTGCCAAAAAATCGTATCGTCTGTTGGTATGATCTCCCAGGTATGACGATATCATTTGGTGAATGCGTCTTCTTCTGGGGGTATAAAACCTTGTTGGCATTCTCAGGACAATTTATTTTTGTCTTTGAGCGATCCAAGGTTATGTCGGGAGTCACACGTTTAGAACCACCCCCTTGCGGGTATGGAGTCTTAACGGGCTCTGAATGCTGATTTTGCATAAGTCCAGACTTTGGAATCCAAACTTGACGAAGTTTTGGTGATTCTTTGGTCACCATTTCCTTTCTCTTTTCTCGTCTTTGTTGTGAGAGAGCATGGGCATTAGCAGCTTTTGCACGACGTTTTTGTATACGTTCTTTGAGGGTCGAACGAGTCCTTTTGACAATAGTCCATTCCTCCGTCGTGAGTTTGGCAGAGATATGAGTGATTGGTTGTTGAGACAACTGAACCACTCGATGCCTCCTCGACTCTAGGTCCGTGTGATAACGAACCCCGTCGGTTTGTTCCAAGGCCTTAGCTATTTGACGAGCGCGGTGTTGGCGTTGTCTCTGACGAGCTCTTTTCGTCAATGCCGGCGGGCTTTGATTCGATGACTCTTTAACTAGATAAGAGTCATTGTGAGCAGAGGTGTTGCGAGTAAAATCCTTAGCAACAATCACGCGAGAGTCTTCATTTTGTGCCTTCTTTGGCATGTAAGTCTTCCTCAATTGTGAGATCCTCTTGTACTTGCGAGATACTGAAGATCTTGAAGAGGATGATGAGAGATATTCCTCAAATTTGGTTTGGTCGAATTTGTATTCGACCATGGATTCAACTGGAATCTTGATCGGCTGCGACACGACGGTCTCGGCAGCGAGACCGTTGGCTCCCACTGTGGTCGCCAGCTTGTTTGCGTCAAAAGTTGACTTTGTCATGGAATTCATTATATCTTCGGTCGATTACAACAAATTCAAAAGAGATAGTCTTTTTATAAGACTTCTTTTACACAACAAAATAAAAATTACAACTCTTGAGAAACAAACGCAGGATCGTTGTTTGGATCGCTGCTTGCGTGGGATCTTTGCCTGTGCCGGGAGCGCTTTGACTCGTGGACCACCAAATCACAGATTCTGATTGAATCGTGAGGGGTTTATGATTCTGACTTCGTTTATCGAAGTGAGAACTTGAAACGATATCTTATCAAGGTAAGATAGTCGTTCTTCTTGAAATCAAGTCAAAGCCTGAATATCAAGGAGTTGCCGAAGTTTGAGTACTCTGTCCTTTCTGCTCTGAAGTGCTCTCAAAATGATCAGCCTCCTCAAAAAAATAGCCTTCNTTATAATTTTCATAAATTGATAGATTTGTATTACCTGTGAAGTTCGTAGAGCTTCGAAATATACAACATCATAAATTGTTTCTTCCGAAGCCTTCATAAGTTGTTCTCACTGTGAGTATTCCTACATGTATGATGAAAAATTTATTATCAGTAGTATAGATGGTTCATAATTTATTAATTCAAATGTTATGTTTCACAAAAATTATGTTTTAAGCACTCTATTTTCTCATGAAGTTTATGAGTTTAATGTTATAACTTGTTGTTTTTCCTCGCTTAGAATCCTATTGAGTGTGTGCACTAAGTTGGTGAAATCTGTAAATTAAATTGGGCATATATATATTAATAGCCTATAAGTTGCTCAATGAAATCATACCTGCTTAAGATGAGCATTGTTAGTTCAAATTTGAAGTCTTAACTCTCTTTTGTGTGTTTTTTTCATACTAAAGGCAGGGAACTGCTTGAGTAAATACATCTGGATAAATACATCTCACTATACACAGTATTGTAAAAATATATATGGATAAGTAACAAAACCTCTCAGGCCACTTTGAATAAGCAGGACCAAGACAAATCGTGGGTGAGACAGTAAAAGTCTGTCTCGCCCTGCGAGACAGTAAAGACTGTCTCGCACGGTGAGACAGTCAAGTCTGTCTCGCGTGCGAGACAGCCCATACTTGTGTTCTTTTGCCTTTTTGAGCTGTATTCGGATATCTCTCAGCATTTTTTGACGCCTACAATTACTTCTTCAATGATTAATGAAGGGCAAGAGATTTCTTTTTGTAGTGCTGTAAATATTAGCCAAAACCGCAATTTGATTTTCAAATATAACATCTGATTCAAATTTGAAATTATGACTGAAACCATATCCTGGCCGGATTTAGATTTAGATTATTAAATTAAAATTGAATTTGGGTCGAATGAACATTTAGATCCGAGTACTCGCTTAAATTTAATAAAGAATAGATGAACACTTAGATGGAAATGGTCTGATCAGGAACCAGAATCAGAATTTGACCTGATTTCTTTTTGAGGTTAGGATCGGATTCGGCTAAGATATTCGTTTTACACGGATTCATATTCAAGTCTTGCATAGATCTGAACTGAATCTGATCCCTTTACAGCCCCATCTGCCATTGAATTGATTCCTTTTGTATCAACAATATACGTGTACAGCATCATGATCACAATTTTGGATTGTGGATAAGAACATTCAATATTCACTTTGCTTGCTATCATAATTAGTAATACTTTCTTCTATTAGACTAATTAAATCATACCAGAATCGCTTGGCGTTTTGTTACTTATCCATATACATTGTGTGTGACCTGTTATATATTTTTTGTGCATCTTTATCTTCCAAAAAATTTAAACATGTGTCTAGGAGCTTATATGCTTTTATTACAGTGATATTCTGGTGGATTTATTTCATTAAAATGTGATTACATCTATATCTGAATGATTGGAGATGTAAATATGATAAATTAAATTGGGCTTGCTATACACTTTCCAAAATGATTAATAAAATTGGTTCATGATCAGGTACCTGACTTGCCTTTTTTTTAGTTGAAGAATTTATTTCATAAACCAAAAAGTGAAGATATATACGTGCCTTTGCTCACAATCATAGTGTGTGTCTGCTTCATTGTTTTACTTCAGACATTGTAATTGATATTAACTACTTTTTTCTCATATTATAAAAATTATTACTTACAAATGGTGTAAGCTTTACCTCTGGTACTTAAAAGTAAATTTAAGCATGTAACCAAGAGGAAAGTACACTTTGTTTGAGAAGCTAATTAAACTATTGGATGATCACATTAAAAAGTGATTACATCTATATATGAATGCTCAGATATGTAAATATGATAAATTAAATCATACCTGCTATACACTTTCCAAAATGATTATTCTTTTGAAGATCCTCCATCAATGAATCTAGTTTGATCTTGAACACTCTTGCGACGATATCTGGTCTTTCATTTTAACGCGTTCATACGATTTTCTAATTCATTATCTGTATCATAAATGTAGAGCTGACAGAATTTTGGGATATTTCCAGGAACTGGTCTCAAAGAACCAATTCTGTGATGGTTTTGTCCATTTAGACGGAAACAATAAGGCCCACCTCCATTATTGTATGTATTGTCAATTGTCCCGCCTGAGGAAGTAAATGCAAAGATTGAGTTATAACTTCTGATATTTTCTTTAAATTTATTGCTTCTGCTATCCTGACCGGTTAACAGATTCCAGAGAAAGGTGGGAGGATGCGTGAGGAGAGGAAATTTGACAGAGCCTTTTCGACAGCATAATGAGAAAGCTGGATTTTCAGGTCTCTTTGATTTCTCAGCTCTTTCTTCATACCAAAGCATAGCATCACAATGTTCGCAAATAAAAGTTGGTGATCCCACATTGTGTATATCATTGTACAGACCTAGAAGTACACAACAAATAGCAATGTTATACAACAAATGACAATATCAATGTCAACAGCATATGAGGCAAGGAAACAGGTACAATTATTTGACATGAAAATAATGTAAGGAAGTTATACCTTTCTCATTTATTTGTTTGCCTTTTCTCCTTCCTTTGTTGCTAAGAATAACCGAATTAGATTGGTTATTGTTTGTAACAGGTTGTACATTATCTTCCATTTGCACGTGAGAATCGTCGAATGATGAATCATATGATATTTGTTCCATCCTTGTACGCTTGATAATAACCGGGGATGTATCCTCAAAGGAAGTAGTGCTACAGGTGCCATTATCTCTATGAATAACTTTCCTCTTAACTCGTCTCTCTTTGTTATTATAGGATCGAAGAGCTGAAAACAGATGATGGGTAGTTAGTGTTAAGGAATAGAAGTTTGTCAAAGTCGTAGTGCGTCAACAAAGAGGGAGTACTTTCTCACTTTGATTGGTGAAGTCAATGATCTGTGATTCCAACGAATTCAACTCTGTAGGTAATAATTTCAATAATTTAAGGTTATTGCAGTAGATTTCTATTAACTATTAAATTGGGCATATGTTTATATAAAGACTGTTACCTGTTATTCTGTCAATGAGCTTCGGAGATGAAGGTGATATGAAAGAACTAACATCCATTGAGCTGCTACTTATATTCTCCATATATGCTCTGAAAGAGATTTCTCCGAAAGTACGAATTGAAATATTCTCCGAAAGAGATTTTCTGGTAAATGGTAGCATACATTCCATATATGCTCAGAAAGATGTGTGGTAAGTTACCTTGTTCACTTGCACATATATACTTATATTCTCCATTTATGCTCCAAAAGATGTGCATTATACATTCCACATATGCTCAAAAAGTTGTGTTAAATTGGTGGATTGATACCACAAATAGAAATAATAAGATATAGAAAACTGAAAATATTTTCAGTTTATAACTAACTTACTTTGAATCATGATACTCTATAAATTGTGTACATGTTATATCAGAGTCAAATTAATATTCAATAAGTTAATATGCTAGAAATATATATACATGAATTAAGGAACAAAGATCTCCAATAATGTAAAGACAAATATACTGAAAGGAGCATAGTATACTTACAGTATGACTTAAGAGTTGATTCTAGAAGCGTTTTCCACTTCTATAATTGAAACAAAAAAGCATAATTTAGGTCCTGTACTTGAAATAAAATTTAAGCATGCAACTAAGAGGAAAATATACATTGCTTGAGAAGCTAGTTAAACTAATGTATGATCTTTATTTGGGTAAATGGTAAGAAATATGAAATAAATATGATGAATTAATGTTGTGATGAAGTGGGTCATCATAAATACTTTAAAAAGTAAGTTTGATATGAAAAATGTGATGTATATAGGCAGAAATGAGTCATAAATCATAAATGTGGGAAATACTGACTTAATCAAAAAATAATCAAATAATAGTGACCTAAGATCACATAAAACTTGCTATTTGAAGTGTTTCTCTTTTATGGCATGATAACTTATTATAAATTATAATTTCAGTTTTGGCTCTTTTTTTTCAGATTGCCGCTTTTTTCACAGCTTGTTTGAAGAGAGTGAATATGTGGGACCCACACATTTCCTTGTTTCCTTGCTATTCAAAATTTTGGTGGTTTTTTCAAAATTTTTGTAAGCTGGAGAATTTTCCCAGATTGCCGCTCAAGTTTGATGCACACAAAGGAATATGTGGGACCCTCAAAAACCTGTAGCAACTCCAGGTTTTGAAGAGGTATTTATCAACTTTGATTAACTTTTTTTCACATATTGTCGCTCCCTCCTCTTTTTTCTTTTTTTGGTTTATCCATGTTAATGTATTTGAGGTGTGAGCAGGGTAATTTTGTAAGCAGAATATGTGGGGCCCACAAAATGACGTGGCAACTAAAGTTTGATTGAATATGTGGGGCCCACAAAAAATATATGGGTGAACATGAGCTTGGTTTGATTAATTTTGCAAGCTGGAGAATATTGAGAGATTGCTGCCAAGTTGGATTGATTTTGCAAGTTGTAAAATTTGGGTGATGTTGCGTGAACATGAGCTTGGTGTCATTAATTCAGGGGCTTGCTTTCATTAATTTTGTAAGTTGGAGAATTTTGTCAACTGGGGAATTTTGAAAAAAATATATGGGTGAACATGAGCTTGGTTTGATTAATTTTGTAAGCTGGAGAATATTGAGAGATTGCTGCTCAAGTTTGATAGATTTTGAAGTTGTAAAATTTGGGTGATGTTGCTTGAACATGTGCTTGGTGTCATTAATTCATGGGCTTGCTTTCATTAATTTTGTAAGTTGGAGAATTTTGTCAACTGGGGAATTTTGAAAAAAATATATGGGTGAACATGAGCTTGGTTTGATTAATTTTGTAAGCTGGGGATAGGCTGTTAGCTACAGTGCAATAGCTGGGGATTGGTAGTTAGCCACAGTTTTATCACTACAGTAAATTCACTGTATTATTTACTATAGCATGAATAGTGGTTCTTTTATTCTCCCTTTTGTATAAAGGAATAGATTACCTTTCATTTTAAATCTACGGTCAAGATCTCTCCCTCCCAGCTATTAACGCAATCTCTCTCTCTCTCCTCCCAATCTCAATCTCAATCTCTCCCCCCTTCTCAATCTCTCCGGTGACTCCTCCTCCGCCCCGTCGCCGACTCCTCCTCCGCCGCTCCTCTGCCCCGTCGCCGACTCCTCCTCGTGGCGGAGAATTCTAGCCCCTCCCTCTTTCAAAGCTAAAGTTTGGGTGTTTTGGATTCTTCTCCGTTGAAGGTAACCAGACTTCTCTTAAAAAAAAATTCTTACTTGTTCTTGAATGCTGCACTCTTCAATTTAAAGTTGAATTTTTTTTATTAGGTTTAGTCTGGGTTTTGTTTGTTTTCGGATTTGGGTAGATCTGAGGAATCTGTTTTGATTAATTGCTTGAGATTACTACACTTTAATGCGAAAATTCAACAAAAGGTGTCACCTTGTTGATTCTACGAGCTCCAAAGCTTATAAATTGGATAAATTTGCATTTGTTTCATTGTTTGCTGTAAACTAATTTTGGTAATTGACATAGCGTGCTTGGTAAATGTATGTTACAATGTCAGTTTGAAAGCTCCATTTAATCCATTTTCAATGACAATTTTTTTTTTTAAAGTTTAACCTTATTTCTTTTGTATTATTAAATGGAACTTTGCATACTGAATTTATAATTAGAACTTGCTAAACATGATATCATCGAGGATCATTTAGGGTAGCAGAAAACTGAATGGAAGAACATGTTCTGTGCAAATGACACTAATTTTAGTGACTTGCAACAAGTGCTTAACTGATGCCAACTAATTCAGATATATATGTTTGTTGTATGTATGTCAAAACTAAACAACTTGGATTATATATGTGTAGAGAAATGTGTGTAGTGATTCTGATATATGATTGATTGTTGCAGGCATTATGGAAGAGCCTGTGAAAGAAAACAATGACAGTTTGGAGCAATCAAAAGAAGACTTGAAACCTAAATTTTTTATGGAGTTTGATTCTTAGATTGATGCATATGACATTTATAACGAATATGCACGTAGTGAAGGCTTTAGCATTAGAAGAGCTGCTTATGCTGCAGATAAACAAGGTGTACTCACTTCAAGAACATTTGTTTGTTGTAAGGAAGGTTTGCGGAAGGCGGATAAGAGACGATTTGACGAGAAATCCAAGAGGAGAGACAAGGACTAATTGTGGAGCGATTATGGGGATTAAGTTGGTCAGGCGTATTGGCAAGTATTCTATTTATCATTTCTCTGAAGAGCATAACCATCCTCTTATCAGCCAAGAATCTGTCCATTTTATGCCATCTCATCGAAAAATCACATCATCAGATGAAGCCTTTTTAGACTTGACAGCAAATTCCGGTCTTTCGCCGAAGTCTGCATTTGAATTAATGGGTCAGCAAGTAGGTGGTAGAGAGTCATTAGGATTTACAAAGGTAGACCAAAAGAATTACCTTCGAACTGTCTGACAGAAAAAAAAATTGGAGAAGCTGCTTATCTGATAGAATATTTTTCAAAGAAAATGTTGGAAACTCCTTTGTTCTTCTATGAGATGCAGTTAGACACTGAGGAACAGATTACCAATGTTTTTTGGCTGATGCTAAAATGATAATGGATTATGGTATATTTGGTGATGTGGTAAGTTTTGATACAACTTACAAACTTAATGAAGCAAATCGACCATTTGCGGTGTTTGTTGGATTAAATCATCATAGAGGGACTATTATTTTTGGAGCTGCCTTAATGTACGACGAGACCGCATCATTCTTTATATGGTTGTTTGAAACCTTTTTAAAGGCAATGTGTGGGAAGCCTTCACAAACCTTTTTTACTGATCAAGATGCAGCGATAGCCAAGGTTGTATTACATGTGATGCCAGGTACTTACCATCGACTTTGTATATAGCATTCTTTTTTTTAAATGTATATGACCATTTTTTTGTATATGTCAGGTACTTACCATAGACTTTGTATATGGCATTTGATGCAAAATGCTGTCAAGAATGTTGGCTTCTTATTTCGAGACCACAATGAAGCAGATGAAGGCAATGTGTTCAACAAATTTCTTTATCAAATTGAGGAAGAGGATGAGTTCTTGAGTGCTTGGCAGTCCATGCTTGATGAGTATGATGCACATGATGATACTTGGTTGGCTGCAACATTTAAAATAAGAAAAAAAATGGGTGCATGCATATGTGAAGTGGACATGGTCGGTAGGAATGCAAACCACACAACTGAGTGAAAGCTTTAATGCTAGTTTGAAGGGGTATTTGAAATCAGACCTACAATTGCCCGAGTTTTTTACTCACTTTGTAAGAATGGTATTTGATAAGCGGTATAAGGAATTGGAAGCTGAGTATGATTTGTTGTTCCGGATTGTTCACTGCAAAATGGAGGTAAGTATCTTGATACATGCACGAGAAGTTTATACCAAAGCTATATTTAAGGTATTTCAAGCTCAGTTTGAAGACTCTCTAAAGTCTTCCATAACGAAGTGTGTGTCCAATGGTGAAAAGTATATATTCACTGTTGTTAGGGATGAGTTCTTTAAGGAGAGGCTAGTACAAAGAGAAGGTCAATTTACAGTATCTTGCAGCTGTAGGATGTTTGCAACTATAGGTGTCTTGTGTAGGCATTGTATCAAAGTGATGACAGAAGGCAGAGAAACTACACTGATAAAAAAGATACCTGAGCAATATATCTTTAGAGAGGTGGACAAAAAATGCAAGAGTTGATAATGTTGTGCAGGACATACGTGAGCACGAGATTGTAAAGAACCCAAGGCTGAAACAAACTTCTCGATATAGAAGTTTATGTTCTAAGTTTGTTGGGCTTGCATCAAGAGCATCTGAGAGTGAGAAGACATATGAGGCAGTAGATATGGAAGCTGATAAGTTAGTAAAGATGGTTGAAGATATGTTACGTGTAGAAATAAATGATGAAAAAGATGTGGAAGATGAAGCCCAAAATGTCTTGGTTGATTGATCTAATAATGTAACCGCTGTGAATGCAAAGGGATTCAAAAAGAGAGAAGCTACACATCGTGGAAAACGTCGAGTAACGGGAGGTTTTGAAGCTCGGTTAAGAAAAAACAAAAAGAAGCTCGCACAAGTCTTATATTTAACTATAATTGAAGTCATTATTTACTTCTTGCTGAATATAGTCATTATTGATGTCTATGCAATGATAGGTAACTAAAGATCCAAGACATTGCGATGCAATGGACCAATCTCATGTACCTTCTTCACAACAATCACAGGTTTCAAAACAATGCTTCACATTGTGTATAATGAGTTTTCAAACAACTATAGTGTTATATGATTCATTACTATCAATTACAGGTACTTATGCACTCTCCTATGACGGTTGGTAATGGTAGATATATGCCAATGCTCTTTCATCCGTATAACGTGAGTGTGTGCTTGTTATAAATATATGATTTTTTTTTTGCTATCTATTTATATTACTGGTATTTTGACAGATACATGGGCATCAATTGAATATGCCAAGTTCACAAGAATTTGTTCAATCAAATATCATGGGATTTTCATTTGCACAAGACCCAGAAAAATCAAATTCTGAGCAGAGTTCAACTCCAAGATCGAACATTTCTACAACTTTCAAGGGGGATAACTGGTCTGCTACTCCTCTACACTGTGTACCTGAACAGAGGAGCTCTAATACTGATATTAACAATTTAACATATCTTTGCCTGGGGCTTAAGGAGATGGAATTTTGTTTGCTTGCATTTCTAACTAGCTTCCTGTAACTTTTGTTGTGAAATTTAGACGTGTTCTTGATGGAACTTGTGTTAGGATTCTAGACTGCTATTGTTTACACTTGTGTCTCAGTTTTTTTCAGAAAGGCAATGGAGAAGCCGAGGTTGTGGAAATAGACGACCTTACCAGAGATTTGAGACCTCTGAAGACTACTTGCTTGAGACCTCCAAGGACTGTACCCTTGTTTTGTTTTTGTTTTCGTTAGTATGGTTCTGTAGCTTGGAAGCAGTGTGAAGCATCATTTTTTTTATTGGAAATAGTATAAGAATTTATCATCACTATTAGAAGTTTGAAACAACTAGACCATTGTGAAACAATGTGTTATGATGACTCTATTGGATGAGTCGAATTTTCTATATACTGCTTATTAGATATGTTTTCCATATTTGAAATGTGTATGCATCCTTAATATTTCATCTAGCTGCTTGTAGACGTGGATAGATAGTCATTGATTTATGAATATTACATTTATTGCTATTTTGCATATTCAGAGGCTGTCATTTCTGTATGTATGTATCAAATGATTTTAGGCATTCTATGAATTGAAGCTAATGTTCATATCTGTTGAGTGATGGAATATATTTGTTTTTGTCATATTTCTGTAAGGGCCTCCAGAAATTTTGCTCTGGGACAATTTTATGCTGATACAGTATATACATCTCTCTCTATTTTTTTTAAGGAATCAATTTATAGTTTTCGCAACACAAAAAAATGTATAAATCAAACAAGAAAAACTGAGACACAAGTGTAAACAATATGAGACCACAACCAAACAATTGACACAACCAGAAAGAGCCTAAAGGAACATAGAGCATCAAGTCTCATGAAAAGTTGAAACAAGGAAGAACTACATCATTGAACATTTTGTTGTACATGCACACAATAAAATTGTAGATAAATATTTCTTACTACAATTTACAAATCAAAGAAACCCTCTAAATAGGAGAAATGCAAAGTTATTAAATAGAAGATCTACAGATAGACATGACTTAAAAACAAAAGGGAAAAATACTTCCAACCCCCAAAACACAACAAAACGTGCCCTCCCCCCAAAGACTTTTTCAACGGGTGCTTTGCCCCCAAAACCGCGCGCGATTTTCTTCCAGCCCCCAAAACGAATACCCAGGCGTAACTCCGTTTAAACCCCGCTCGAAATGCCCAAAATACCCTTACATTTAAAAGAGTTCAACTCCAAGATCGAACATTTCTACAACTTTCAAGGGGGATAACTGGTCTGCTACTCCTCTACACTGTGTACCTGAACAGAGGAGCTCTAATACTGATATTAACAATTTAACATATCTTTGCCTGGGGCTTAAGGAGATGGAATTTTGTTTGCTTGCATTTCTAACTAGCTTCCTGTAACTTTTGTTGTGAAATTTAGACGTGTTCTTGATGGAACTTGTGTTAGGATTCTAGACTGCTATTGTTTACACTTGTGTCTCAGTTTTTTTCAGAAAGGCAATGGAGAAGCCGAGGTTGTGGAAATAGACGACCTTACCAGAGATTTGAGACCTCTGAAGACTACTTGCTTGAGACCTCCAAGGACTGTACCCTTGTTTTGTTTTTGTTTTCGTTAGTATGGTTCTGTAGCTTGGAAGCAGTGTGAAGCATCATTTTTTTTATTGGAAATAGTATAAGAATTTATCATCACTATTAGAAGTTTGAAACAACTAGACCATTGTGAAACAATGTGTTATGATGACTCTATTGGATGAGTCGAATTTTCTATATACTGCTTATTAGATATGTTTTCCATATTTGAAATGTGTATGCATCCTTAATATTTCATCTAGCTGCTTGTAGACGTGGATAGATAGTCATTGATTTATGAATATTACATTTATTGCTATTTTGCATATTCAGAGGCTGTCATTTCTGTATGTATGTATCAAATGATTTTAGGCATTCTATGAATTGAAGCTAATGTTCATATCTGTTGAGTGATGGAATATATTTGTTTTTGTCATATTTCTGTAAGGGCCTCCAGAAATTTTGCTCTGGGACAATTTTATGCTGATACAGTATATACATCTCTCTCTATTTTTTTTAAGGAATCAATTTATAGTTTTCGCAACACAAAAAAATGTATAAATCAAACAAGAAAAACTGAGACACAAGTGTAAACAATATGAGACCACAACCAAACAATTGACACAACCAGAAAGAGCCTAAAGGAACATAGAGCATCAAGTCTCATGAAAAGTTGAAACAAGGAAGAACTACATCATTGAACATTTTGTTGTACATGCACACAATAAAATTGTAGATAAATATTTCTTACTACAATTTACAAATCAAAGAAACCCTCTAAATAGGAGAAATGCAAAGTTATTAAATAGAAGATCTACAGATAGACATGACTTAAAAACAAAAGGGAAAAATACTTCCAACCCCCAAAACACAACAAAACGTGCCCTCCCCCCAAAGACTTTTTCAACGGGTGCTTTGCCCCCAAAACCGCGCGCGATTTTCTTCCAGCCCCCAAAACGAATACCCAGGCGTAACTCCGTTTAAACCCCGCTCGAAATGCCCAAAATACCCTTACATTTAAAATTCCCCGTTATGAGTTGCCTCCTCGTCCGTACCCTGTCATCTCTCTCTTCTGCAAGCAAACCGACTCCAGAAACCCAATTCAAAACCCTAACCCTAAATCAACCGACTCCAACGCAAACCGAATCAAAGCAAAGGGATCAAAATGGCCGGCGATTCAACCCCCAAAGCCAACCTCAATGCCGACCACAGCGAAAGCGATGACGCCCAGCGGTTCGAAATCTCAGAAAGAGCCCATACAACTGCAATGCGGACTGAATCTGAAGCTGGAGCTGCGATTGCTGATGTTCTAACGAACATCGTATCCAGCCATTCTCAACCCAGAAGCCCACCTCAAAATTTAAGTGTAGGCCCTCGCGAAGGTCTAGAGGGTAGCACCGGCACCACCGGCGTGTCCAACGATGCCACTAGAGCGCTCCTTGGTCTACAGAGAGGAGAAAAAGAGAAGCACGTGGCAGCACCCAAAAGGTAATTTTTACCGCAAGTTTTATGTTGTTAAGGTTATGGTTTGATTGATAATGCTCCTAGTCTGGTGGGAAGATCCAAAATTACGGATGTCTGTTAGCTGTTGAGGTTATTGTTAACATGCAAGGTTTATGCTTTTATTGTTGAGGTTAGGCTTTGGTTGTTAAGGTTAGGCTTTGGTTGTTATGGTTAGGTTTTTGTTGTTAAGGTTATGGGGTTGTTGTTAAGGTTGTTGGTTTACCCGCAAAGTTTACAGCATAGTTGTTATGTTTACTGATTATACTCAAAAATGCTCTTGTCTTATGTTTTTGTTTTGTAGAAAAAGGGCAAAGCCAGCTATTACGTTGCGGCCCACCGCCAGCTTCGGTGCCTATTACGACTTCATGCGGAATTTGGTGATGCGTATGGGACCAAGGCATTTTGCGGCTTACGAAGATAGTGTATTCAGACACTGCGTCCAATTTGGCCCACCTGGTGTCGATCTTCCCACCTTTGAGCACATTTTGAGTCAGTGGGACAAGAAAAGCAAAAAATTCGTCTTCACCGATAGGAATGATGGAGAAGAGATCGCATGCTCATTCAACCTTGAGTGAGTAATGGAGCATACATGGTTCTCTAATGAGGGGCTTCATGTTGACCACAATCGGGATAGGAAAAATAGGATTTGGTCCAGGTTTTTTGACAAACCCGAGGCCGGGGGTTCCAGCAGTATAGCTCCCCCCAAAGAAGGCCCCACCAGACGCAATGTGGAGGACCTGCTCTTGAAGCTGGTACTATCTTTTGATCGTCTAGATGTGAAGGACTATGTCCTGCTACAGATCCTCTATCAGCTGAGCATGATTTGGTGTCCAAGCAGTGTTTCCGGCGTTCTCAGGCATTTATTCAAGTACGTTGTAGCCGTGAAAATTTGATCTCCCGAAAACAGGGAACTTCGTTTGTATTGATAAGAAGGCTTATTACAAACTAATTAATCAAATGTTTACAACAGAAGCGGGGGGAAAGCCCTCCTTGTTTAACGTGGGTTCCTCGGTGGCGATAAGACGCCTCGCTCGGTGCTCGTGCCGAGTCTGCTTCCCTTGGACGATCCGATCGAAGTTGCTGCCGGAGCTTCGGTTCTCAAATGAGGGAGCCTTTGGCAAAGGTCCAGGTTCAACCTTTGGGAGATTAGCCAGCAGAATATGCAACGGCCAATCCCCCTTCTTCATGCTGCTGAAGATGGGTTTTAACAGGCAAGGGATGGCATGGGCTATCCCTTGATTCATGGGATTTGACCACTAATAGAGGTGAGGGAGATAGCTTGACTGCTCCTTGAATTATGGGATGTGACCACACGTTGTTCGGAGACGTCCTGCTGTTCATTCGTACCGTCAATGGTCATTCGAAGAGCTGTGCTCTGCATCACGCTACATAGGAGTGGGAAAGCCCCTCCTCGTATGCGTGACAACGGCTGTCAGATGCTTGCGTGGATCTGACCAACCACCGAGCGTTGGCGGCTCTCGTCCCTTCACCTGGACAACTGAGGTGAGCCGCATTTATGAGGGTGCAGGCTGTTTCGGCGCCTGTCCGCTCATTCGTACTGTGGACGGCCATCTGACGGGCCTGGAGTATTGTGCCCTCTCCCTTGATTTGTGGGATTTGACCACTGATGTAACTGTTCCCATACTCCAAGTGGGCAGTTGACAGTGAGCTGGCGAGTCTGCAGCTTGGGTCTGCAGGCGAGCTTGCAGGCGAACTGGGTCTGCAGGTGAGTTTGGGACTGCAGGCGGACTTGGGTCTGCAGGCGAGCTAGCAGGCGAACTGGGTTTGCAGGCGAGCTCAGGTGCGCAGGCAGACTTGGGTCTGCAGGCGGATTTGGGACTGCAGGCGAATTTGAGTTGCAGGCGAGCTCCTGAGCATGGATTGAAGAATAGGCCGTAACTTTCAAACCGTAAGTCGGAATTGGACGAATTATATATGAAAATCGCCTATCTCGACGAGATGGAGCCATCCGAACCTAGCCGAAGGCTTCGGTTCGCTTCCTCCGTTTCGCTAAATTCCTTACGGTTTGGGAGATATCTGCGTTTTCCCCTTTTTCTGCTATTTCGGGCGAGGTTTTAGCAGTTTTGTTCTGAACTTCTCTGATAAGGATTAAAAGCAATTTTTATTGCCTACAAAACCCCCTCCAAAGTTTTCAGACCTGAATCGGGCCGCATGGGGTCTGGAACACTTTGGATATGAAGACCCGTAAAGTGATCCCCGCTCAGATGGAGTGAGGAGCCCTCCAACAAGCTCGGTGAAGCTGACCTCTTCGCTCGCAGCTGATGATCGCCTTCTAGGATTTTGAGCAAACCCTCAGCTATCAACGGACTTGATTTGTCTTTACCAACTGCCGTTTGAGTTGGACTAGCCATGCTCTTGCCCTTAGCATGGTAAGTTGTCGAGGAGTTTCTCTTAGGCTCAATGCTAAAATTTCTCCTCTATCCTTAGCCTTTCGAGGCGTTTGGAGTTTGGATTAAGGGAGCAGTTTAACCTCGTATACCAGTCGGAGGGTAGGAGCAGTTTAGACTCATGCACCAGTTGGAGTGAAGGAGCAATTTAGCCTCGTGCACCGGTCGGAGGGAAGGGGCAGCTTATCTTCTCTTAGGGCAAAGATAAAGACGAACCCTAATTTGTCTTCTCTTGGGGCAAAGACGAACCCTGAAGTAGCAGCACATCGCATAGTAGGCCACTATCAAACAACAACGCCTTTTATGGGAAAGACGGTGCTGGGAGAATCAAATCGTTCAGGGACGTATGAGTGTGACGATTGATTGGACAACATCCCTGATTTGTCTTCTCTTGGGGCAAAGACGAACCCTGAAATAGCAGCACATCGCATAGTAGGCCACTATCAAACAACAACGCCTTTTATGGGAAAGACGGTGCTGGGAGAATCAAATCGTTCAGGGACGTATGAGTATGACGACTGATCGGACAACGTCATTTGCGGGAATGACGGTGTCGGCTATCAGAGGTAATTGTTAACGTGATAGGAATTGCCGCGATCGGAGCGACTTTGAGGACCTACCATCCTTTTGAAGAGGATTGGTAAGTTGATTTTGTCAGAGGTGTAGTGTTAACATGACAGTGGGAGTTTATTGCGATTTGAGCAACTCTATGGACCTACCATCCTATTGAAGAGGACTGGTAAGTTGATTTGTCAGAGGTAACTGTTAACGTGACAGTGGGGGTCCCGCCATCCTATTGAAGAGGATTGGCGGGGGATTGTGGCTTTGGTCCTAACTATCTGAAGGTTTGACCAAGTGGGAGTTTGATGCAGCCCACCTGAACTGCTAGTCTCGCCTGTTTTGAGCGGTTCGCCGTAAATGGAAACCTGGCTCAAGAAGTGGGACTCGCCTAACTGTTAGGCTCGCCTGATTTGAGCGGTTCGCCCGTACTAGGAACCTGGCTCAAGAAGTGGAGCTCGCCTAACTGTTAGGCGAGCCTGACTTGAGCGGTTCGCCCGTACTGGGAACCTGGCTCAAGAAGTGGAAGTGAAGGGAATAGTTTAACCTCTTATACCAGTTGGAGGATCAGAAGAAGCAGTTTATACTCGTGTACTTGTCGGAGTGGTAAGGGAGCAGTTTAAACTCATGCACCAGTTGGAGTGGGGTGTGCAGGCCTGTCGTCCTATTGAAGAGGATCGAAGGGAGATTGTCAGAGGTGTAGTGTTAACTTGACAAGATTGATGCGATTAGAGCGACTATGTGG